GTGGTGAAGTAGTAGTGGTGGTGGTGGTGGTGGTGGTGGTGGTGGTGCTTGTAGTCGCGACGGGGTATAGTTGTAGTCACAGCATTGGTGGTGTGGCCGTTGGTGGCGATGGTGAGGGCGACTGCTTGAGATGTGGTTGGATGCTTGTGACCAATTATTTGGTTGATTATGATCAATAATTGGTTAATTTTAATATATGACCTAAAAGTTTTGAATATGACTCACAATTGATTAATTTGTGATCAAAAAATTAATTGTGACCAATTAATCTAAGGTCATGTTTGATTGACCATTATTTTCCATGAAAAATGGAATTCGAGTTTTAACTTCCACTTTTTCACTGTTTGATAGCATATTTTTTTCATGGAATTAGTTTTCGTGGTTTTCTTGAAAAGTGGACATTTTCTTAGTTTTCTAGGCTGATCTGCCTTTTTTTTATTTTTTTATTTTTTGCAATGGAAACAAATTTTATCCATAATTGTAAAAAAATATTTTCCTTCGATTGACAAATTTCATGTAAAATGAAACTAAACAAACACCAAAAGATAGATCATTTTCTTGGATTTTTTTTGGCAGTGGAAACAAATTATATCCTCAATACCAATAAATTCTATCCCTTTAATTGACATTTTTCATATAAAACAAAACCTAACGAATAACAAAAAATACTTTTATTTCAACATTTTTCACGTGAAAAATTATACCAATCAAACACAATAATTGACAATTCTCAGTAAAATAATTTTTAGACAATTCAATTCCCTAAAATTCATTTCTTTCCACCCAAAATCCATCTTTGTAATGAAACGGACCCTAATAATTTACAGTGAATAAATGAGTTGTAACCAATAAAAATTTTGAATTGTGACTGACTGTGCCCGATAATTTGATAATTTGTAATTGTATGATAAGTTGTGACTTATACTATTTGTGATTTGTAAATAATAAATAAATCGTGACTTATAAATTTTTTGATTTGTGACCGATGAACAAACAGTGGTCTATAAAATTTTTATATTGTGACTGTAAAACAATTTGTGACATAAAAATCTCGATTTGTGATAAAATAAAATAAAAGTGACTAACTAAATCGTTAATTTCTGAACAAATTGTATAGATCCGTGATATAAATATATTTAATTAATAAATTAATTAAATTATAAATAAATTTTAATAAAATATGATTTTTGAAGTTTGAAAATTGTTCTCTTAATTTTGAAATGTTTGATACTTAAACTCTTACTTATTAATTTTTTCCATAATAAAAACTGTGCCGAATATGAAGTGGAGTTAGCTAGGGCTTCTTATGTGCTTCACTTAAATGTCAATTTTAACCCTACTTAAAAGATCAATTACATTTTTGGTCATTGAACTTTTGTCAAAATCTCAATTGAGTCACTTCCCTTTAATTTGTCTTAATCAATCAACAAATATTTTAAGTTTGTTCATTTTGTTAGATCATGTTACTAAAATTAACATTTGGTTCATCTGTGGACATCAAAACATAATGAACCCTTCATGTTGAAATATCATGGTAATATATACTACATTGTTGTTGTGTATGAATGAAAATTACGAGTGTACTATCGGGGAAGGTTGTGCTTTGATAATAACACTTTCCTTAATATGAATTTTCTTGGAATAGAAGACATACTCTCCTTTTATCATTATCAGTATATACAAAAAACAAAGATATAAAGCTCAACAATTCGGAGTTTTCGCTTCATATTGTTAATTGCAAATCCCTGTTTTCCAAAAATTTCAACTATGTATCAAATTCAAGAATAGTATAAGTCGACTACGGAACTCGATCAACATAAGAAACGAGTCCATCAAGGATTTCTCACCCTTGTTATTCCCTTAAACTTAACTTCACATAAAATATTTTTTTTTTGAAAGAAAATAAGAGTAAATTCGGATTTGAGAAGGGGTGTAGTGAAAAAGTGATTTTCCTCTTCTTGTAACCTTCATTTTCAATAAAAAAAACTAAATGGGGGGAGTTGTATTATCATTAAATTTTTAAATTTGGCCTTTAACTAAGAACTTAAAGAGTTTTTAAGCCATAAAAAAAATTCATATAAAAAGTTTTATAAAAATATTTACATAATAAAAATAATGGAAAATGAACAATTCATATGTTTTGTAACCTATCTTTATCAATGCCCAACAATAAAATAATTATTTCATCCAATTAACTTGATATAATTGTTCTTAATGTGCAAAATGAGGAGTTTTAAACTTTAATATATTTTGTATAATACTTTATAAAAACGTCTACATGGTGATTCAAACCTAAATTGCCTTTATGAAATACCATGTAGATGATCGTTGTGGCAATCCAATTATTCATTAAATTTACTTAAACTTAATCTCTTAGATTGTTGGGCTTTCATAATTTTAAATGGGTTGAACTTCTATAGCTCGTTTCTTAAATGAGGTAGGCTTGTGGTGCTAAATCATCACAAAATAATAGCCTATTTTCATTTTATTTTTTGGGCTTCTACTAACCTAATTTTAAAAAAATAATATAAAATTAAAGACAACAACACACTACTTTAATTAAGCCAGCAAGCTGCTACCTAATTTAAGACAAGGCAGCCTACTGCCTAATTTTTAAGGCAGCTAGTTGCTGCCTATTTTTAAGGCAACAACTTGTTCCCTTAAAAAGGTAACACTTGGCTGCCTTTTTCTTAAGCAGCCGAGTGCTGCCTTTATATAAAAAAATCTAGCTTGCCTAGCTCGGCTCGGGCCGAGCCTTGATTTCTTGGTTGAGCAAAAGCTCCACTTGGCTCGCGAAAAAGCTCAAAACATTTTACTCGAGCCAAGCTTGAGCCTGGGCCTCAAATTTTGGCTCGTGAACCGGCTCGCATTGACTCGTTGACACACTAGCCCCCTCCCCATATCACATTCTTCCCTCATTTTCCCCCATATATCCCATTTCCTATTCATTCCTACTCAACATATGCAGAGTTTATAGCATCCTTACCACTTTTCCACCATTTGATCCTTCTCAAAACTCATACCGATGTTAACTTCAACTAAGGATGACTACTAGAGTAAGATGGAGTTCCATGCCTAGGTTCTCAGAGTACAAGATGAGGAGGATAATGACTGGATTGAGTATAGATCTGAGGATATTGATGGGTCTTTTTCTACAGATGATAATGATGGACTTGATTGTAGGAAAAGTGTTAATTATTGCATCAAAATTTGGTCAAAATTTGGAAGATTGTGTGTCTTAGTTTTGGAAAGAAATCTTATTGGATCCAATTGAAGAAAGGAAAGAATATGTGTGTGTGCGCGCCGTGTATGGTAAATGCGAACACGTTTTTCCCTTTTTTTCTTTTACGTGGTTTTTTTTTTTTTTATTTCCATCTTTTGCCTAGTTTTAAGGTTTGACTCGTGTACTATAAATATATGTCTCCTCTTTCACTTTAGAATAAGCTAATATTGTTGTGGCGTTGTATTATCTCCATATTGTCAATTAATAATACATCTTGCCTCTGCATTAATTCCTCTTTTTTCTCTTTACTTTATATCTTGATATATATTTTTATATTGTTGTTGTTGACCCTAAAAAGTGTTACCAACAGATGTCGATCCCACCCGCGCACGCATGGGCGAATGTTCAACACGCTAAGACATGTGGACAATCTAAAACGAGTGGTTCAAAGGGCGTGGGAGTAGCCCGACGACGCGGGACGGTGACGTTTGGAATTCGGCGAGTTGTTCGTGATCCGATTGTACAATACTTACCAACCGGTGTTCGTAAATGTATATGTAAATGTGTATAAACTCGATTTGTGTATTGCAAGTAAATGAAAGAGAGTTGAGTAAAGTGTAGTTCTTTGTATTGATTCTTGCATTAGCCCTTTGATGTTACACAAGGGAAGTATTTATAGTGATACGTGTGAAATGAGAGCCCTTGGATGAGGTGGCACGTGGCCTCATCTCTTTGATTCAAACATCTTATCCTAGGCATGGGGCTTGACTTGCTAGCTTAGTACGCCTTTTTTGTTTGCGCAGAGCCTCCATACTAGTGACAAGACTTAACCTTTATGCTTATGACAAACGTTCCATCAATCATTTGAATAAGATCTTTGTGTAGACAATCTCTTGGGAGAAGTGACCATGGAGGATGCTCCCTTGTGGTTCGGAGGCTCCTGCATCAGCTTCGGGGCTTCGACCATTTCATACAATATTTCCACTTGAGGGCTTCAGCTATCTTCAACCAGCTTCCGCATCATGGCTTCAGCTCATAGGTCTCAACATGTGGACCTCGGTTACATTCACAGGCCTCGGTTAGTGGACTTCGACTTGAAGAGCTTCGGTCATAGCCCACTTTGGCAATATATGCCACCTCGGCTGGAGTGCTACGTGGTTCGGCCTACCACGTGGTTCGGCCTGAGTGGGCCATTGGCCCGAGTAGGTTGGCCAAGTATGACAATACGCAACAGTTGTAATCCATATTAACTTCATATCGCGTCATTAACTTCATTCTTTACAACCCTTTGATCCCAACAAAAAGGGGTCCCAACCATGGTACCAACGTTTGAACATATGAATCTGGAAGAATTCCTTTAATTGTGGGAGGCAGCAGGTATTTATCTGAACTCTCTTTTGGGATTTCAGTTTGAACGCAAAAGAGTATCATTGATTTTAAATGGACTAAATGACTGTAGTAGATAGGAAGTATACTTTGGCTTATCATGTCCGTCTTTTAGTTAATGAAACAGTGTATATTTCGATAAATGTGTTTTATTTTTTTCTATGTTATGATTTTTTTTGTTTTTTTTTTTAGAGTCCAGAAATTTTATGTATTCTTTAGGCATTTATGTCTGCATTTGCAATTCTAAAGTACTATTGTGTTGTGGTTTAGATGGCTGAGAATTTCATGAGTTATTCTTAATTTCCACAATGATCTTTAGAGAAAGACTTGAAATTGAACAGAGCATTTGGGTTTATCTCTGTTGAACTTGAGGATGCTCAATAATTTAGTTATCTTTGATGATGATAATATAGATTGCATTAAGTGCCAACTTATCATTGTAGGTATAGCATTTCTTCTTCTTGGTAATATTTTCAAAGAGTAAACTGCAAATTCAATGATATACAACTCTGTGATTGGTCTTTGTATTTGATCTGGTAAATGGAGAAACTGAATAACAAAGCCAAGAAATATGAACACGTTAAATACCAGGCTGTTTTTCTTTGTGTTCTTCCTTGCTGCAATCATATGCACCCTTTTATTGTCAGAGACTTTAGCATTAGAGCAAATAACTTGGGGACCCGTGCTGTCTAGATAAATTATCTACATGATCCTCAAGAGACATAGCTCAAGTGCTTTCCAAGAGATCTGCAAAGTAACACTTTCCTCTTAAAAAATTAGATAAAAACAGTTATTGTAATTTATATAACAGGCTGTTGCTCCTCTATTTCTGTAGTTCAGATGTGTAGTTCAGATGTGCACAACTGGGTCTATGGAAAGAACAGGTGGGTAAGACAAGGTTAAATGAATGGTCTCCAGAACAACAAAATTTATGTTGTTTCCTAGTATCTTTTTTACTTGAAGTACGAGAGACCGCATATATTTCTAATACACCAAAATTACATCATTCGTTTTTTTTTATAGAAGTTGCTCAAGTTCGGAAAACCCATTTCCAAATTTTCGTGGGCCTGGTGAAACTGGGGACAGAAAGTCAGACTATAAAAATTTTGTCTAACCAAATTAAATCATTGTACTCTCTCAATGTTGATATATGTCATCTAGAAGTAAAGGACAACATTGTTTGCCCGCCGGGCACTTCTCCGCTGATAAAGGACGGGTTCTCTCAAAGTTGACAGATCAGAGGTCGTGGGTTCGACTTTCGGAGCTCTTGGAAGGCAAGGCACATACTGGAAGACAGGATTTATCCTGGAAGGCAGGAATGTCTTGAAAGGCAAGACGCAACATGGGTTGGTTCACTAGGCACTTTGGCAATCCAATTGGAGAGGTGCTCGGACCCTGGTCAGTTGGAGGTAAATCCCGCGATTTAATTGGTCTGTGTGAAGAGGGGCCGGATCACAGACCCAAAGAATAGTCGCCGAAAGCGGACACCTTGATAAAAAAAAAGGACAACATTGTTTTTATTAGTTGGATAGCATGCTCAACTGACAAGATTACTAGCATGAAATAAAATACAAATTTGCATTATCCCTTTGATAGAAATGATTCCACTACCTTAGACTTCTAATGAACTTCATGGATCAGATCTGTAACACATTTCTAGCCTTTTGTACCTGTCTAATCTCTCTACTAAAGTGTTCATTACATAAACTTGGAAGTTAAGGCAATGTAGTTAACGTTGTGATATTTTTGACAAACATGTTTTCAGGTCCGTTCTCTGCTACAGTATGATTTCATTTGTCACATTTTTCACTCATTATTGGAGTCACATTCTCTCTTTTAAGTCAAATATGTATTTTTACCCTTTCAGGTTAATTTTTTTCTTCTCTCTCTCTCTCTTTTTTTTTTTTTTTTTTTTTTTTTTTTTTTTTTTTTTAATTTTTGTTTTTTTCTCTTTTTTTTTTTTTTTTTTTTTTGTTTTGGAAAACACGTTTTCAAAAATGGGAAGGAGAACGCGTTTTCAACGTTTTGAAAAATCGAAAATAGAAAACGGCTCGAAAACGTCAAAAAGAACATCCCCTAAATGATCCTAAAAAGGGAACACGAAGGGTAAGTTGGACATTTCTTACAAAAAAAAATGACATTTTTGATAAAATTAGGTGTACATGCAAATTTTTTGTGCATTATAAAAAAAAGTGACATTTTTGATAATTCCCCAAAAAAAAAAAAAAATCAAATTTTTAATAAAATTTGATAAAAATTGATGGAATGTATAGTTGAGAAATAGTGAATCTTATTAAATATATGGTCAAATCGTGACTAAAAATATGGTTTTAGCTTAAGCTAAATTTGTAAATATAAAACAATAGTTGAGTGCCTTGCTTAAGGCGTGGGAAATGACGAGCAACAGCCATCATAATGCATGAAAATTGACCTTTTTTGTTTATTTGGAGGTGTTGACAAAGAAAAAGGACAACCTCACTCAAATAATGAACATTTTGTTCAAACACTAGTTTGCAAAGATTGTGGGCCAAATCATTTCTATAGGTCAAGGTCATTTACAACTCCTTAGATCGTTTAATTTAGGAGGTGATATTTAGAGCAGTATGGCACAACACTCCACATTTAAAGCTAGTGTCTCATATTCAAGAAGCCTTCTTTTTTATAGTATCTTCTTTAAGAACATAGCATAACTCGAGATTTTCAATATATCGTCATTATTGGGATATTGATGTTGATCTTCTTGAAAAGATCTAAGATCTTTACAAATTGTTTTTCCAGCTTAGTCTCCTATAAATTTTGAGGAATAAATATAGTAGCCACATATGCTTTGATAGGAACAGTTGTCTTAACTTGTGGAGTATTTGAATTCTAATATGGATTCATATCTCCTGTTCATTTACACTGGTCCATTATCTCGTGTTGAATATGTACTTTTTCATTTGATACTGCATGTCTTTTGACATTGATTTCAGGTAACTAAACTCCACTCATGGTAGTAAATGCCTGAACCCTTATGTCTTTATGATCCTTTTTTCCATGTCTAAAGGTTTTCTAGATCTCAAGATCAAATAGTAGGAGGTCAAGATCTTCCAAATTTAGCATACATTTAGTACAAATGCCCAAAAAGATCAAATAGAATAAAGTAGAGTATCAACAGGAATAAGAATAAAATTTTTCAAAATAAAATAACAAATAAAATTCTAATTTAATCATGAACTAATCAAATTCAAACTGCATATCATTATCCCTGAGAACGGCACTAAAAATTTGTTCAATTCAAATTCTTCAAGCTTACAAATTCATTGACAAGTAATAATAAAAGATATGTAAAGAATATCGTTACCAGGAAGATTTAGATTTTAGATTAATTTCGATCAATTTGAGCTTAAGATGAGCACATTCAATAGATGATCGATCTTATATAATTATTGATTCTAACTAAATTATAATTGTATCGTTTAGCTATAGACCACCACAGAGGAATAATAGAGGATCTCGACTAGGTATGTCCACTTCAAGTTCATTTCAAGCCCAGATCACGAGGAAGTCAAGGATCTAGATTCAATCACAATATTGTACAACTACCAATGAGTATCTGTCCTCATACTTAACATCTTTTTTGAGATTATTTATTTCGGGACAAGATGAGAGTTCCAAAGCTCTAGATTTCCATATTTCCAAGTACATAGAAGATCTCATCTTGATGAGTGTTTAAAGTTTAGAGAGATTAATGTATATTGTGACCATGGCGAACACATTAAAAGAAATTGCCCAGTTTTATTATAGGAAAATGACATGTCATAGAGGATATTTTCGGAGTAGATTATTGGTTGTACAAGATAGAATGAGATCCAAAGAAATACTTTGGTTGTACAATACAATGATTCCACATCGAATTGAGAGATGTAATTATATCACCCAACCCAAAATATGATCCTCTTGATATATGAATTTAGGTGATATAATATTAAATTTAACAACCTAGAATACCCGACGATGTAAATGATTGAAGATTGAAAAGTAAAGAATTGTTGTTGATTTCTGATTCAGACAGTGTTGAACAGAGCTGGAATCCCACTTCTCATCATTATAGCAGCGATACAATCTAGTTTTAATATATATCTTCATCTTTTTTTGCAATTATAATCAATTAATGGCGTAATGTAAGCAAATCCAATTTTCAGTTACAATTGTGATTAAGGGAAAGTTTCAAAAATAATATTTTTGGTGTTTTCCACTCCTACTATAGCACTTTTAATATTTATTAATGTCAGAATATAATATGAACTATATCAATAGTGGAGATTACGTTGCAGCCGATTTTTAAAGAGTGTAGTTCTAAAATCAGGTTTAAGATTTAATTATTCATAAATCAGATGTTTAATATATAATAATTAAATATTAAATATTAAATTTAATTATGGGTGTATTCCTTAATTTAAGTGGTTCAAAATTGGAAAACATTTTCACTGCCTTATTTTTTCGAAAAGCACCTTCAGCCCACGTACAGAAACCACCTTTAACATTCCTTCGTTATCAATAAATACCTTTGCTGAGCTTGTTGTCACCTTTATCCATATATGCCCTTGCTATTATGCACACATCATCATATTCTCTATTTTCCTCTATAAGAACTATAGACCCTAAAACCCAGGTAAAATGGTTTGATTAAGGAGTAGAAAACAGGGAAGAAGGTAGTGAAGCCCCAAATAGAAGAGGTGAAAGAAAGGAAGAGACATACCGAAAGAATCTCCATAAAAAAAGACACAAAACTTCTTGATTAGTCACAAAATGGACCTCGAACAAGGTATTTTCAATAAAAAAAAATAATAATAATAATAAAATTCATTTTTTATTTGAAATCTATTTATGTGAGCCAAAATTGATGGGTGACATATATTGTCAATGTATTCGATATTTGTGACCTGTGTTCGGTTCAATTTAGTACCTAATTAATTAAGTGAAGGCCGTTATTTGAAAGTGTTGTTTTCTAGAAATTGATGTTGATTGATTTAGGAATGAATTGTGACATAAATTTTGTTGTTTGTGACCTGTCCATCCATATGTGATCAATGTGAATCATGTGCATAACAACAAATATATCATTAGGACATGTTTAGAATTGATGTTATTTGATTTAGAAATGTATTTCATTTGATTTTAGCATGAATCCGAATGTGACATTATGTTGACAACCAAAAGCTGTGACTAGATTTGTTATATATATGACTCGATTGGCCTAATTGTCTACCATGCTTGCTGTGACTTGTAATCATGTATCATTCAAATTTAATTTCAACATTGTTTTGATCTAAACAAATAATGTAGCTATGGAAGTATATAATCCCAGAAGATGATTTCTTGAAAAAAAAAAAAAAAAAAAAAAAAAAAAAAAAAAAAAAAACCCAAAAAAAAAAGAATTTTTAAAAAAAAAAAACCCCAATAACAAAGGCTATTCTAACAAATTTCAAAACAAATATTAACGAAGCCCAACAGCTTCTACTGCAGGATACATGTTTCTCGCACTTCTTGAATTGTCATGAAATTGTGGTTCAACCACAATAGTTTCACTATTTTATGCTGAGGCAGATGCAATATTTGAATGAAAACAATGTGTTGTTCAATATAGTTTACCAATTTGTTAGTTTCTCGCTTCTGGAGTTCTGTTTAGTTACCGACCTTGGATATTTTGGCAACGGTGATATAGATATGTTAGAAAAAAAAAAAAATCCATCACGTTTGAAGACCAAATACTTTAGTCAAGTTAAGATTGTGACCAACGAAGATGTCAAATGCGCATTTCTTTCTGTAGATCACTTTTTAGGTTAGAATGCCACGTAGATTGAGTTCAAGACACAGAGATGTGCATACACTAATAAGATTTAAATAATTGTTGACAAACACATAGGTCACATGGTTTAGATGCATGTCAAAGCTTTTCATTCTGGGTCATAGATTCAGGTCACAGGTACATGCATGTCCGAATATGCCACAATATGTGAATCTGTGAATGTGACTGATTATATGAACTATGTAAGCCATTACCCGAATGTGACTGATCATGCAGTAAGCTGTTGAAACAAGTCATAAACATAAAACAGTATCATAATATCACATATCGATGACAATAAAGCTCTTCAATTTTCCTCACAGCAATAAAGCTTTAACACCGTTTTATAAATCCAAAATAGGAAGATGCACTAGCAATAGAATGTTAGTTGCTAAAAATTGTGAATACGAAATCTTTCAAATCTAATTCAATGCCCTTCACCATCAATTCAATATAGCAACCCTGCAATGCTAGTTGCCACCTTCAAAAATTATGATCTACTATGACGATAACTTCCAATTTGTAACCTTATTTGTCCAATCATTTTTAATGAACCAGATGTCAGTGATGTAATCGAAAATTAATAGATCTTCTTGGCTTTTCTCTTTTGTTAGATGGTATTGTGTATTTTAGAGATTTAATTTAATAGAATTTTATTTATATATACAACATATATCCTCTAAGTTTTGGAATATTAAATATTTTCTCTTAAAATTGAATTAGTATAGTTAAGGCCTAATATATGATTTTTTTCCCCCATATCAATATGTGATTTTTTTCCCATCAATCTTTAATTTGTGCTCAAGATTTTGATCGCATTGAGCTGGTAGTTGTCCAACAATCCCATGGGCCTACCTTCATTGAATTGACACTTGAGGTCCAAATATTCCCGTTCCACTGCCAAACAAGGACAATTAAGTCCACGTGAAATTAGTAAGGAAGAGACCCGACCCGGCCCGACCCAACTGCTAGTCCTACATTGG